CAAAAAAAAAAAAAAAAAAAAAAAAGCCCAGTCCAGTATGAGCTCATGATGTCATTATTATTATAACTGGTATAACAAGTGTCATTATTACTGTTACTTATACCAATCCAATAACTACTGTGCATCTACTATTTGCCAATTTGCCAAGCACTCATAAATGGTACCATTGTCATTGTTGCTGCATTATTACTAATAAAAAAGAATTAGTTACAAATACATTAACTGGGAGGCTAAAAACTGAACCCCTTAGCAGCCACCACCATGTTCTCACAGAGTGGTACTATCAGCACTTCACAGAAAGCACTTCAGATGGCTCAGGATATGGGACAGATGTGGTCTGATGGGGTGAGGGAATCTGGGGAAGCCCACTACATGCAACTCCCTGAAGATGGCAAACTGAGTGAGATGCCCTGAAGATGGCAAACTGAGTGAGATGTCCCTCAGAGGTCTGAGGTTAGTGACAGCCTGGGTTCCAGGGTTAGGCAGAAGCAGAAACTGCCCCATAAAAAGCAAAATTGTCCAAAACATGGATTTCAACAAATATCCACTTAGTGCTATTCTTTGAAAGCAGAGTGCAGGAGCTATGGAAATCCATGACCTGCCCTCAGAGTAGAGTGTCATGGGTGGCAGTCATGGAACTTCTCTAATAGAAGGCGCTGGGTGAAAGGGAATGTGGGAAACACTCAACACAGTGCTCAGCACATTCAGTTGTTGAGTATTTATGACTTGTGTACTGATTTTCAATTCCATGAGCTTGTTTCACACTATTATAGCTTGGAGACAAAGCTGTGCGGACCAGTCTTGTTAGACATCAGAAGAGAAACATCCCTGCCTGAGAAAGCTCAAGAAACAGGCCACTACATGGCTCTCACTCTGCAGTGGGAAAATCTAGGACTGACAGGTGCTGGAATCAATATGAAGGTTATCATCTGCATCTAGATTTCTGAGTTCTACACCCAAATGTTTTCCTTTGGATAAGTATCTTTCTCTATTTATTTGTTCATATTTCATGAATAGTTTCAATCTTACTTTTAAGGAAGAATTCATAAAATCTCAGTGCTGGGCCAAATGGAGTTAGGAAGGTCTTCCAGCAAAATTCATTCATTCATTCATTCATTCATTCATTCATTCATTCATGCATGCATTCATTAATTTGTACATGAAGTCATTCATTCCTACCAATAGAAATAATTCCTACTCCAAAGGAATTTTATTGGAGATGTAAGTCAATAGGTCATTCATAATTTATTATTTTATTTATATCATGGTTAAGTGCTCTGGAAAGAAGTACAGAATACATACATGCACAATTCTACCAGCTAGGGAACACTGAAGTGGGATTTTATTTTGAGGGAGTGATCACAAGCTCAACTTTAGAAATGTTGAGATTGAGGATCTGGTTAGAAAAACTGTTGGGTATATAGATTTGGATCTCAATGACAGATTTCCTTGAGAGACAGATTTGAGAGCAGACACTGTATGGTGAATGTTATCGCAACCTTGGGTGTGGATAAAAGCCCAGCGTAAACAGACTGGAAGAAGACCCACTACCAAGGTCTGGGGAGCTCTGGCACTTGAACGGGAGGTGGAGGAGGGAAAACCAGCAGAGAATAGGAAGAATCAGTCAAGAGACATGAGTGGAAACCAAGTAGAGTGTCACAGAAGTGAAGGAAAGAAAGTGTTTCAAGGAGGACGTAGTAAGTAGGGTTGAATGTTGCCAATAGAGCCATTCTATTTAGGGTCATTATGGGTGTGGGTGCTACAGTGAGATTAGAACAAGTCCATGGAAAGTGAGGTAATGGAGACAAGTGACATAACAGAGCCATTCTGATGACCTTGGCTGTGGGGAGAGCTAGGTCTTTCTCCAGACAAAGAGGGGATGGAGTTGAGTCAGTGCAAGGAATGAGGAAAAGTTGTGGAGAAGCTCATGTCTCTTGGGGCCCCCAAACAGGAGCTACAAATGATAGTTATGCATCATCAAGATTAGTGGCATGAGGTGATGAGTCTGGCCTTGGGTTGGGGAGTGACATGGGCCTTAGAGGATCTGTAGGGCCATATGGCTCCTACACGTGTCAAAGGGATGATTCATCATTTTTGTCACTGTCTCTCACATCCCACGTATATATATTAAGCATTTACTATCATTAAAGTCTTTACTAAGTCTCACAAGAAATGCAAAGGTGAGTCAGACACATGGATTCCCCCTAAGGAAAGACAGAGAAGTCACCTACATAAGCAGAATGCATGGTCAAAGGTGTTAGGTGTCCCATGAGAGGTA